TACATTAGTAAAGCAAATCTGGTTTCCCCCATTGATTTTGATTATTGTAAACCTTTTGGGAAAATTGTAAATGGCATTTGTTGTCTCCAGAATGCTGCAGCTATCATAAATACATGCCAATTAATAGGACCTAAAATGTGATATGTTCTTCACACAACTAGATTAAGAAAAACCCAATTAAATAATGGAGCCAAAAACATTATACTTGTTCATTTATTCATAGACAAAAATGATCCAAAGCAACATATTTGTGTATGGCAAAAATACGTGAACCTTTAGGATTATCAATTCATTAAGGAGAAAATTGAGTCAGGTGTTTTAATCAGTGGGATGATACTCAGATGTGAATGTTGAAGATCCTGCCTTATTTAAAGAATAGGCTCTTGAATATTCACTGTCACATCTGGGATCTTCACAAATGCATATATGTGGAAGTGTGTCATGGCTTGAATGTGTCATGGCTTGAATGAAGGAGATTTCTGAGGATCTCTAAACACGGCTGTTAAATGCAGGCTGGAAAAAGTTATAAAATTATTTCTAAGGAGTCCACTGTCATGCAGATTGTGTCTAGGAGTAGCCAATCATACAACATCATACTAAGATCAAGGTGTATAACATCCCGGGAGATCTCAAAGAACTCCGGGGTAATATATAAGAAACTAAAGACTTGTCCTATGTTGGCAAATGTTCTGAAGTACCAGAACACTGAGCAACAATGATTTGCATGACAGAGTTACAAGGAGAAAGCCACAACTTTCTAAAAAGAACATTGCTGCATTTGTACACATTGTGAAAGGCCATTTGGATAAGCCAGGAAGTTATTGGAAGAATGTTTTGTGGATGGATGGAACTTTTTGGTTTGAATGAAAAATATTTTGCAAAAGGCAAACACTGCATTCCAAGAACGTTATCCATCTATTGGCAATATCCTACTTTGAGCCTTGACCGGGTACAACTTGCCATCGTTAATGGAACTATGAATTCTGAATTGTATCAGCAAATTCTACAGGAAAATGCCAGGTTATCTGTCTACGAACTGAACCTCAAGAGAAAGTGGGTCAGTCAGCAAGACAACGATCCAAAGCACACAAGTCGTATACCAACAAAACAAAAGCAGAAGAAAATTGATGTTTTGGAATACCCAAACCACGAGAGAGAACAGTTCTTTGAGATAGGACAGGTCAGGATGCTACTAGGATTTCAGGAATGCTATTATATTGTTGTAGGGCATGATAATAGAATCTTGAAAGCCTGACAAATATTGAAACCAAGGTGATTAGACCAATAGATTGCATTTTTGTCAAGAAAAATGCAATGCTCTTGAGTTTCATGGACGTCTTGGCGATTATGACTATGATATACGGGTTTTAGAAGATGATGTCAAACGGATAGGCAGTTCCACTTCTGCCTTGTATTATATCCTGCCGCAACTCTTTATAGCAACTGCATGATTATGGTCAAAAACACCACTGCTCCTGCCTTCTCTGGAGTCTGTTTTCCAAATTATTTCCTAAGGGGGTGTGTGCAACGCTAATACAAGTAGGGTCTTTGACTTATGACTACAATTGGAACCAGTATTTCTGTTGCTAAGCAAGATGGTTGTCGATTTCTGCCTGTAATTTTTTTTGTCACAGTTAAGTGAACCAGTCCAGTTGTTAAGTGAATCATGTTATTAGGTAAATCTGATTTCCCTCATTGACTTTGTTTGTCTGAAGCCTGCTGGGAAGATTGGGAATGGCGATTAAAGGACTCCTGAACATTGCAACTACCTTAAATACATGCCTGTTGCCAACCACCTGAATTTTGATCATGTGACTATGGGATGCTGTGATAGTTTTAAGTGTAGGTACCAGTTGTAAGTTACTTTTTTCAGTGACGTAACTGAACAGTCACTAAATAAATGACTGTTAAGTTGAGGATTACCTGTACATTTGTATGTACATTGAGTAGTACCCTAATTTTATTTCCACAATGATTGAGGGGCTTTCTATTTAAAAAGTGCGAGTGGCCCAAAATTATTTAGAGCAGGGGTGTCAAACTTGTGGCGTCACATGACATGACTTTTTTCCCCTTCACTAAATCAGGTTTGGGTGTGGCCAGCCCGTGACGCATCTGGCCCGTGGGCCGGGAGTTTGACATTCCTGGCTTCGAGGCTCTTGAGCCTTAGTCTCCCAATTCAACCCTTTGGTATTATCTCATCTTCCAAATATTTGTGTATTTCTAACAAGTCCCTCTGCAGTATATCTGCACATTTATCATACTCCCAACATTTGTGTGTAGTGACCTTGGTTATCATTACCTCCAAGATGGTTGGAAAGTAGGTTAGATCCCTATAGCAGGCTGGGTAAGTGGACCAGTTATGTAAACCAGGTTATGCCGTTGTCTTGAGAGCAGTGTGAACAAAGCAGGAGCTAAGATGTGGGAGATAGTGAATTGCCTTGTCAAAAGTGGGTGGAGAAAACAAGTAATCCCCCCCCCCAGCCTTTTTTAAGGAGTCGGGGTTTTGCTAGATGCAGTCAGACCTCTTGTCCTGAGTGGTCTCTCTGTTTGGCTGCCCCTTTCTCATAGCCTCTGGAAGTTTGGAAGGATTACGGCCGGACCTTATCTGAGGAGTTTGTGTGCATGAAAATCAGAGGAGGGAGATTTGGCTGGTAAATAAGTTATGCAGTGGTTTATTTGGAGTTGATGGGGAAAAGTCTATTGCTTACGATCTTTAGCCCTCAATAATTATTTGCTGTCTTGCAACCTTCTTTAGACTGTGGGTTGCCCTAAATTTCAATCTTGTTTGGGATTGAGGCTGATCTGCTTGACATAGAATGTAAATACTTACATATGCTTACTTATCCTAGTACTTGTGCAAGTCCAGGTAATTGGTAATCAGTATAGAAACCTAGTTTGCTGATTTCCTTTTGTTTTGCTCATTAAGGAATCTATGAACAGAGAATGGAGGAGCTGTTCTTTGTTGCCGGGTTCACGGAAGTTAGGATACCACGGGTGAAGTTCTTTTAGTTTGTTTGTTAGATTTATATCCTGTTTTTTCTCCAGGAGGAGGAGGTGATGTATATGGCATTTCCTCCTCCAATTTTTCTCCACAAAAATAGCAACTTTGAGAGAAAGGCTGCATTGAAAGAATGATGGTCCTAAATCTCCAGTGCCTGAGTGTTATTTTGATTTGTAATTGCAGTAATAAACACCCGAGGTTGAAAGTAGACTTGAAACAGGATTTGCTTAGTCCTAGACATGTTTTTACTAAACCAATGGTGATCTGAGCTGATCGTCCTCATGTTTTGTTGTGCTTGATCCTTTGAAAGTGGAGAGATTTGTTTCTTTCTCTATTAGGAGAAAGTAAGTACTTTTCTATCCACCGACTAGGAGGGACAATTTCTTTTGGGAAAAACAGTAAATATACTGACTGAGTTCTAAAGTCCTTTTTACCTACAGTTTTCTGTGTTCACATGATACACTGAATCATAGACCAACTAGATGTGTTTATGTCAATGAGGGTTACAGTGCAAATCTTTCATTTCTAGTTTGATGTGTTATATAAACCTAGTAGCTCCCTTCTGAGATTTGTCACTTGCAAGGGGGCTTAAAGAATTAGTACCGGCTTATTGGATCTGGCACATAATTAATTTGTAGGAAAATAAGGGGACAGAAAGTATGAGCTACGTGTGTAGAGTGCAAAGAAAGAATTTCATCATGTTTATCAAATAGCCAGTTTCACATTTAATGAATTAGTAAGTGTTTTAAGTTTTTATCTAATTTGCTCTGTATTAATATGATTAAAACTGCAGAGCCATGAAGTGCTTTGAGGTTGGATTCCAAAATATAATTCTGAGCATTTAGGGGCACAAAGATAATAACACCTTGCAGCTTTTTAAAGTAGCTGCATTTGTTCCTAGGTCCTAGTATATATAGCTCCAGGGAGAACAGTGGGGTAGGGTGGGGGGCTGCTTTCAAAAATTGGAGACAGGCATTAACCTTCCAGTTGTAACACACTTCAAAGGGCATTATTGAAATCAAGCCCAAAGCATTGAAGAGCCCTACAAAACTGTGTGGAGCTAATTTATTGCTTGATTGTATTATGTCTCTTGAATGGGAAAGTTTGCTGTTAATAACATCCTTTGGAAAAAAGATAATAACAAGTTGGATCAATCCAATGGGTCCTGATTTTCCCGTGTGTAGGCTCACTTGGTTTAGTTTCTACCAGTAGGTCTTTGTCTTAAAACAGTATACTTATTTCCAAAAAATTCACACATATTTTCAGCTGTATTGTACTATTCTACATGTACAGTAGTTAGCATTTAAAAAGGTTAATTTTAGCGGGACCTTGATTTTGAAGTCAATTGCTAGAGTCAAAAATAAGCATACATGTGTGCTTGGATAAATTCAGGTAAGAATATCAGTGTAGACTTATAAAATAATACGATACATCTCACATTGCTGTTTGCCTCGATAACAATTTGGAAACTGGTTTATGTGTCTACACATTAAAGAAGCTGGTTTATTTTATGGTATTTTATGTTTAAGCAGCATTGTGTTTTAATTGCAAATTAGGATTTCTACCAGAAGTGAATATTTGTTCCTTCAAGATCACATTTGTGTTCCAGATACCTCACACTTCTTTTATTTGCAGAATGTATATGTGGTAGTAACTTTAATAATGCCTGCTGTCCATGAACAGGGGGAACAGACACCATCTTACTGTAGCCCTATCCAAGACATTTTAAAGCATTCTTATAAAATAATTTTAATTTAAGAATAAACAGTTAAAAGGCTAGATAGTTTGCTTAGCCCTCCCTCATTTCTTTTAAAGCCATATCTGGAATGTAAAATCCTAGACTACCTTGACTTTAGTTAAAAACTCTAACATTACAACTGCTTTGGATTTTTGCAGGCTTCTATGGTAGATATTAAGCAAGTACTCATTGTTTCATCAAGTTATTCCCTTGCTTTATGAATATTCAACTGCATAGCCAAACTCTCTCTCTTCTCTGCAGGCTCCATTCTTTTTCTTAGTCTGAGATTTATGGACTTGTACATGATGAATTGTGAACTCCTAGCAACTTGCAGTGCCCTTGGATTCTTAGAAGGGGACACCTACCATAAAGAACCAGACTGTATAGGTGAGAGATCAGGGATGGGAGGTATATATTACCTGTAAGGGCTGTTTAGGTTTCAGTTATTGATTGTTTAGATGGAGTCAACTAAATAATGAAGTAGGAAACATTTAAGTTCTGTAAAGGGGCTTTCTAACTTTTTGTTTTGATTTTGAAAAAGTTAGGAGCTATCTGCTTGTCCTCCTTCTTTGGATGGTTCCAGGAGACAACAAAATGGTTTAATTCCCTAGTCATACAACTTTATCAATTGAACAATATGTTACCTTCCAGATGTTGTAACTAACTCCCATCAGTCCTAGTCAGCTGTGACGAAGTATGATGGGAGTTGTAGTTCAACAGCATAGGCATTTGTTGCCTACTCCTCCTTTAGTATATTAGTATAAATAATATGTATTCTGGAATAGCAATTCTGTGTGCTCTAGCTTTGTGCCCATTAAAAATTTCTCCTACTTGACTTGAATTCCTCCAGAGAGTGTGAAAGATTTAATTCGCTATCTGCGCCATGAAGATGAGACTCGGGATATTCGGCAACAGCTGGGAGCTGCTCAGATTCTGCAAAATGACCTGATCCCTATTATCATCCAGTACCCCCAAGATAAAGAGCTGTTCGATGCTGTCATCAGGTAGGAATGGCATAAGATATGAGAATACTCTAATGGAATGGAATACATTATAATATGAATTGGAATTGGATAAGTTTAATACTTAATACTAATAAGGTTAATGTGATATGAAATTGACCAAACAAAATGAATAGGTAAATATGGTCATGTTTGTATCGTATTGAAACCTGGAACCATACTGCTTGCCAAATGAGATTTTCTTTTATTTAAAAAAAATAGAGGAGGAAATTGAATAATGAAATTATTAGGTATGTCTAATTGATATGGTGGTTGGCATTTGGAGAGAGTATTGAAATGTTGAAAATAAGCAAGGAAGGATTTTGACTTAATATGAACATGGATATTAAGAGATTATTAAGCATATTAATGTATGATATATGGATGCCACACAGTTAATGTATTGTTGTGTATGTGTAGATTGAAATAAAAAAACTTATTTAAAAAAAAAAAGGAAAAGTTGCCCTGAATAAAATTAGTTTGTTCTTATTTTAGCTCTCACAGAATCAACAAAGCTAAACATATCCTTTTTTCAGCAGGATATGGTGGCATCTCATCTCCTCTTGTTTCTGATTAAAACTAATTATACATTAATTTAATCTAAATCCAGGCCAGGATATGGCACAGAGGGAAACTGTTGAGGTAATTCCCCGTTAGGAGAATGAGCGCATACAGGGAGACGTATTTGAGAGGAGTGTTTGAATAATACACACAGAGCACACAGATACACTGTACAGTAAATGTAGGTTTTTACTTCCAGAAAGGTTTAAGCAAAGTACAAAATAAGCAATCCAAAAGTCATTCACAAGTAATCAGTCAGTTTTCATCCAGGGATATTCCAATTATCAAATTCCAGTGTCAAAGACAGTTCAGTATCAGACTTACATTAAATCCAGTAATATCAGTCAATTAGAAGAAATGGAGCAACGGCAATACTTTCCAACAGAAGGAAACAGAGATACACTCACACTCTCTTCTGAGACTCAGACTAAGACAAACCAGGTTTCTGGCTCCATCTTATGGCCGTTTGAGAAACCACACCTAATTACAGTTTTGCATTTTCTTAAAGTTACAGTTTTAAAATGTTTATCCTGGTTTATATATTTCTAACCCAAATAGCTGTTAGGTGACTCATATTCCTAACAGAAACTACTTTAATTGTGTTTGGAGGAAGAACTAATATTCTTTAAAAAACCAAATTTTAAAATGTGTACAATGCAGCTGCCATACCAATTTTTATTATCCCCAGAGATGAAGGCAATCTAGATTGGACATTAGAATGAAAAATAAGAAGACTAGCCTATTTAAAAAAAACCAAACCCTTTACCATGCAAATCTAGTATGGGTTTAAAGAAAGAATCTCCAGATTATTTTAAAATCCCATGATCCCAGTCTGGATTAAGCCATTATCCACTTAAATTTAAAACTGAATCAAATCCTGAACTGGAACTGTGTGTAATATAGGTGGCAATTAGGAATTCACTACTGAAAAATACTTACAAAAAATGAAATACTGAGGAAGCCATCCCAATGAATTATCTAAGGACTACGTAATATATCAATGTAGAAATGTATTCATTGCTTAAATTTGTCAGTGGGAAATTAGTATAGCTTTAAGATGTTTGTGATGTGTTTTAATACTGAAGTGGTTTAATGACAATACAATTAAATTGGCTTTATCTTATTATCATTGACAAAGTCTCTGTGTCTTATTTTCCTAGGTTAATGGTGAATTTAACTCAACCAGCTATCCTCTGCTTTGGAAAAATTCCCCAGGACATTAACCTCCGCCATCACTTCCTACAGATTGTTTCTTACCTGCAGGGTTATAAAGAAGTGAGTGGGACGTCTTCTCTAGTCATTGTTCCATTGTGTCTGGGATTACAGGATTATGAGGAAATAAGACCCTGCTTTTCCGAGCTGAGGTGCTCTTTGTAATTACAACTTGAAGCTTTTTACAGTAAGTTTTGCTGTGCTTAAACTGAAGGTCTTTGAAGGAAAGAAGAATTGTAGCTTCTGGGATTTCAGCTAATTCGAAGAACACCAAAGGGACGAAGTTTTTTTTAAAATAAACTTAAAGGCAAATAATAAAGGGGAGAAGCAGATTGTAGTTTCCATACCAAGTTTTTGTAACTTGCTTTGAGGGAGAGGGTGTTGCTCTGTCTTCACAGGAACCTAATACAGTACATGGTTTTTCTTTCTCCATTCTTTTTAGGCATTTGCCAGTGATAAGGTCTTTGGACTGTTAAGTGAGAAGCTGTATGAACTGTTGCAGCTGGTGAGTTGCACTTTGAGCCATTTCCTGGGTCAAAAGGGAGGTGGTTTAAGGGCAAGAAAAGAGTGTGAAAGGAGACAAAAGATTTTGGCAAGCAAGACTGGGGTGGGAGCAGTGAAGACAACAGCCACCCCCTTGAGTTGACCTCTTTCGTGTGCTCCCAATATGTGTGTTTCCTATGATCTCTTCTTCCTCATTCTAGGACTGGGAGCAGCGCCAGGAAGAAGATAACCTGTTAATTGAGCGCATCTTGCTTCTGGTGCGCAATGTGCTGCATGTGCCAGCTGATCCTGATGAAGAGAAGGTATTGGAGTGAAAGGCTGGCATGATGTCTTTGAGTGAAAAGACAAGCATATATCTGCAGATCAGAGGAACCTGGGCTTCCCAAATCCCTCCCTCATTGAGTTATATTAGTTGGTGCTGTTGTAGGTGACTGTTAGGATTGGCATCGTCGTCTTGAGCTTCACCTTCGCTAGCTGCCAGTCTGCCATGAATTATAGGGGGAAGGAGGGCGGGGGAGGCTAACTGCTCATCATATCTTCCAGAGACACCATGCTCATCATAACTGCTCATCATATCTTCCAGAGACACCAAAAGCCTGGGAATGGAATAGTTCACCCATCAGCCCACTGTTGAAGGGGCAGTGCCCAAAACAATGTATTCAAATGTAATTGGACAATATGGACTAGCAAGGGCAGGACTGACAGTGATGTTGACGGATATTCAGATAAATCGGGAGTTTCCTATTCAGTGTGTTCATCTGCATCATCTCAACAACTCCTTGCAGTATTGTTGAACGACTGTTTCTTTTAGGGGGTGGGAATGCCTTAAAGCTTAATAAATTGCAGTGCCCTGAGGGTCACGTATTCACCTTTTGCAACCTTCTAACAAGCAAGATCAATGGGAAAGCCACTTAGCAACCGTGTCATACTAAATGTGTGCGATGATTCACTTAGCAACTGCGGCAAGGAAAGTCGTAAAATGGGGCGAAACTCACTTAACAAGTGTTTCACTTTGCAATATAAGTTTAGGGCTCAGTTGTGGTCGTCACTCGAGGACTACCTGTATTCTAATGGTTAATCCCATCTGATCCCTCCCATAGAACATTGACGATGATGCCAACATCCATGACCGAGTGCTCTGGGCTATGCACATCAGCGGCATGGATGATTTGCTCAAATTTTTGGCCAGCTCCCCAAGTGAACAGCAGTGGAGTCTGCACGTGCTGGAGATAATCTCTCTTATGTTCCGTGACCAGGTAAGCAAGCGAGTCTGTTTGAACCAGAAATGGTGGCTGGGATAGAGTGGGAAACATCTGCAGGTGGTAGGAAAAAAGCAAAGGATGCAACAGTGTTTCTAGGTTAGAACTCCAAAGAGATTTCCAGGAATTTTATTTTTATTTTATTTTTTAGCTTCAAAAGGGGATGCAGTGGCCCAGTGCCTAAGATATTGAGTCTTAGACTAGTGATACCCAACCTTTGCGGCTTGACTTGGCTATGGAGTGGGGAGGAGAACCAGGCTGCGTTAGCAGCTGCCTGGCGTGCATCTGCCCATGTAACTCGATTTGTGTGAGTGGTGGGCTGGCGCGCAGGCATACGCAGCTCAACTTGCACAAGCTGAGTGGCGCATTTGTATGCACACACACCAGACCTCCACTTGCAGAAGTCGGACTGCGTGTGTACATGTGCATGCTGGCCTGCTGCTTGTGCAAATTGAGCTGTGCCGTACGTTTGCGTTGCCGGCTGGCCGGCCACTTGTGTGTCCTAGTTTCAAATAGGCCATGGCCTGACAATGGGCTATGTCCCGGGGGTTGGGGACCCCTGCCGTTAAAGATCTACAGCTCTGCAATTTGAATGCTGCGAGATGGAGTGAGCCCCCGTCACTTGTCTCAGCTCCTGCCAACCTAGCAATTTGAAAGCATGCAAATGCAAGTAGATGGAATAGGTTCCGCATATCAACATCCAGGAAGGTTAACAGCCTTCCGTGTTTCACCGCAAAGTCTGTGCTACGGTGATGTCACGTCAGCCATATATGATCACAGAAATATTTTCGGACAACACTGGCTCTTTGGCTTAAGAAATGGAGGTGAATATTGCCCCTCTAGTCGGACATGACCAGCAGGGTAAAACCCACAGAGACACCTTTACCCTTTTACCTTTATAGCTTCAGAAAGTGGAAGAGGGAAAAGGAGCTTGAGAGATGGTTGGACTGTCAGCAAGATCGATAGTTGTACTTTTTATTAGAAAAGATGGCTCTTTAGCCCATGTTACATTTTCATCCTCTGGGGTTCTGGCTGGCCTCTGTCAGAGTCAGAACATGGTGGTTCGTTAACTTAGAACAGCTGTTGTCATTAACATTTTTAAATCAACATTTCATTTAATGTTAATTAAACATTGTCTTAACGTTTAAAACTCTACTGTGGTGAGGAGATAAAAGCTCCTTTATCCTGCCCAACCTCTGTTGGCTTGCTTTCTGCTGGAGGTGCATGGATTTAAGGGAAGGGGGGGGGGGGGGGCGGAACAAGCACAGCTTGCTTTGCTGGAAGAAAATTGTTCCCAATAGAATCCAGAGCTGCTGGCAGCCACAGGGCAGACCCGTTCAGCCAAGGAACAGAGCGTGGATGTGGCAGAACTGGAAGTCTTGAGGCAGAAGGAACAGGCTGAGAAGAAGAATCGCGTGTTCCAGCGAAGTAGCAGGTGAGGAAGTGAGGTTGGAGGTCTCCCACTTGCCTTTCCCAGCCAAAGTCACTGGGGATGGTTTCGGGGGGAAAAACAGGATCCTTCCCGTACCTTGTTGTACCATCCTTTAAAAGTCAAGAATTGAGCCTGTAACCTTTAACAGAGAAAGCCATTTCCCTTCCTTGTAAATGCTACCTCTAGGCTGGGCAACCTTCCAAAAAAAAAAAAACCCACATCTTTCTTCCAAAGATAATTTTACTACAATCCCAGTTGTGGTTTCCTCCTATAATATTCAGATCCTAAGCAGGCAGGGATGCTTCAGACCTATTTGGGGCAGTCTCCTTGTATCTATTTGTTTGTTAAATTTATTTGCCACCTATCTCACCGTGGGGCTACTCTAGACAGCTTACAATAATAAAAAGGAAGACAAATGAAAGGAGGGTAAACAGAAGTAAAATAACAGAACAAATAAAATACACAATAACAAACCTACCAGTTGATCCTTGAGTGAAAGAAATATTGAAAGAAATAGGTATTTGAGCTAAGGAGGCAACAAGAGTCTTAGAAATGTTGTAACGTTTGTTACTACAACCCCCTTCCCACCCCAAAAAAGGAGAAGCTCTTAAAGAGGGAAAGATGCCAGATTTGGCACCTTTCTCCCTTTACTTGATTTTGATTCTGAGGCCCTTTGTTTTATGGTGTATAAACCTCCTGCTCAAGCTCTGCAAACAACAACACATCTTTTTAATTACAGCGGTGACACTGAAAATGAAACAACGTCAAAGAAAATATTGCAAACTTTGAGAAAACTGAGAAAATTGCATAGAAAGCAGCACTAGTATTAGTTATTGAAAGTGCAATTTTTCCACTTTCTAATAAGTCCTTAAACCAAATAAATGGCCATTATTATTAAAGATGAAAATATGTATTGATTTGATTAAAATCCCCTTGCACAATTTAGAAAGTCTTTAAATGTTTCAATGCAGTTTAAGGGAACGTGAATTATACTTTCCATTAGAAAATATGTCTCGTTAGCCTGTGTAACTTTTTAGTCTTCTGGCTTTGGCCAGAGTCAGAATGTCATGGTTCATAAATTTAATCTAGAAGAACTGCTGTCGCTATTTTTTTTTTACGTTTTTTTTCTTTGCAATTTATTTTTACAATCTATTTTTGATGACTTTTCCAAATAAGATTCAAAATTATTTTTTATTCAACAAAGGAGTTCTAAATTGACTCATTCATTTCAGATCCAAATAGTGTATGCATTAAGATTTCAGGAGAATCAATTGTATTTGAAAAAAAATATGTATTTATTATTGGGGAGTTATCTTTGATTTAAGATAAGTAGATAGGTATCAGTCTTCACAAATGGTTGATGTTATGATTCATAAATTAACACACTTGCTCATGTGAAATCGAGGTAGAACTTGGGACTGCTTCTTCTGAAGAATATATTCAACAGAATAGATTTCCCACAGGAGCCAAGTTTCTAATCTTGTACAATAATCCATCTTCCCATTTGCTGAAGAGAGATTGTTTATCACAATGGTTCTCAAGCTGTTCTTCACCGCAGACCTTTTGGGGCCATAGCATAGCCATGGATCACCAAGACTTAACTCATAAACATTTAAATCATAACATTTCTTCAAGCGTTCGCAACCCCCCTGTGATGACATCGTGGCCCCCAAAGGGCAGGGGTGGGATTCAACTGGTGTTACTACCAGTTCCGCGACTACGTTTTGCCGCACGCACGTGTAAAAAACCTTAAGCTGTGCCGCTCGGACAGCTGAAAAGCACAGTGTTTGAATAGCCACTTTTTTCCTGCTTTTTCAGCCTCAGTTGTGCTGCGCAAAGCTGCTGAGGTTGAAAAAGCAGGAAATAAAGGACAGGTGAAGAGCCTGGGCGGGCGGGCGGGCCAAACAGCAGCAAACACAGAACCGGTTTGGTGTCTGCTGCTCTTCAGAGCTACTGGCTGTATAGAGCCGGGCAGAACCGGTAGCATCCCACGCTGCCCACAGGGTCCGTGGACCACAGGTTGAGAACCACTGGTTTATCATTTTAAATGTGGTAATCGAGAAATGGAAGAAGAGGGAAAGAGGAAAAGAATCTGAACTGTTTTCAGCTTTCCATACTATTCAAGGAAGGTTTAGTTACAAATTTGTAAATTCCACAGCTTTATGTTGAGGGCAAGAGCCTGTAGACCAGTCATTACTAGCTTGTTAAGTATGTCGTTATCACCTCATTAATTCTGCCAGAACACTTGAATTCAAGTCTTTCAATATTGAATAAGTCTTTCAATACCAGTGATCGAATGGGGTTGGATGTGTGCAGGAGAAAAGGAATCTTGCAAGAATGAAGTCCAGCACTCTTGCAGTTGGTTCTCATCATGCATGCTTCACTGGACAATGATTAAGAGACAGGAATGGACAGAGGGAATTGAATGTAGTTATTGCCTGCATAAGAGCAAAACAGCTGCTATCACAGTAGACAACTCTGGGTAGGTTAGCCAACAATAGTCTGGCTTTCTCTAAAGTCAGCTTCTGCCTTCTCTTGTTCAAAAAGTGGTATTTTGGTAAAAGAGTCTGTTCTAATAGATTTTCTGAATTCTTAAAATATACAGTACAAAACTAGGCCTTGGATTTGAACTGAATGAATCGGCTTAAAACTCCTTGTTGAATGATGTTGCATCTTAGTTAGGAAAGTGACACTTTTACCTGTTTTCTTTTCCCTTAGACACTCTCGCTTTGGTGGCTGTTACGTTATTCAGGGCTTGAAAGCTATTGGGGACAGAGATGTGGTGATGCACAAGGGGCTACACAATGTAAGTCACTTCAAGCTACTATGTGCAAAGCTGGAGAGGGTGGATTTTTTTTTTTTCATGATGCAGCATCTGCACCTCTTTATAGTGTTGAGGGTGCTTCTTCGAAGGAATGACACTACTTTCTGCACTTATAGGAAACGGAGAAAGGAAAGTATGAGATGCTATAGCATGTGGATCATATAGCTTTTTTTATTTGTCTTCAAATCCTCCTGTCTAAAGCTTTGTCACAGTAACTCTCACTGAAAGTGTTAATATAAAAGATGACTGCAGCTATTGGGTTTCCTTGTCCCCTGTGCTATCGTTTATGCCTTCAGAAATTCTTGGCTAGTGTTGGACTTCATCCACCAGCACAGGCCCCTGAGCAACTCATTCCTTTTTCATAAGTTGCTTCCAGTTTTCTTAGCATATTCAGTTGGTTGAGGTCAAGTTTCAGAGCTTCTCTTCACTAGCTCATAAGACTATCAGATTATAATCTAGATCAATCCACAGTTGTGAAGAAGTAATTGCACCATCATCAACCATATTTTCCAGGCCCAAGCAGACCATATACGTTTAGATTAGACCAGGGGCTCTCAACCCCAGGACCGTGGACCACCAAGAACAGGGCAGCACAAATGAGCGAAGCCCCTTCTGCACATACATGGGATCCAGGCAGCACACAAAACATCCCCCCACCTCCAGTTTTCCCATGGAAAAAAACTCCCTCCATGGAACTGGTCCTTGGTGCCCAAAAGGTTGGGGGTGGCTGGGTTAGACCGTCTAAAATTAAGCTAATTTTTACAGAAACTGTGTAATGCGTGTTAAAAAAATATTCTGATTAATAACATTTATATACATCACATATTCACTGAAGACGATCACTTGAAAAACAGTGTAATTGCCAAGCTTTGTCTAATATTATATCTGCACTTTATTAAGAAATGGAAAATTTTCTGCAGAAAACAATACAGCTGTGGTAAGCTTTCCATCTGTAGTCCCAAAGATGCTTTTTCAAGAGGCAACTGGACTTTCTGGTTTTTTTTTTTTTAAAGATGTTTTACTTCTCATCCAAGAAGCTTCTTCAGCTCTAATTGGATAGTGAAGAATGGAAGGATTTATACTCCTTGCAGAAAGCTGGTCATTTGAAATCTTTTAGAGAGTCGTTAAGGCCACCTGGAGGTTTGTCTGTGCCGTGTCAGGGTTACCTGAGTGCAAATGGGTGTAAAGCCCTCTTGGAACTGTTGAAAGGACTGTGTTGTAGACTGGAGATAGAGGATATCCTATCCTTCTCCCTCTGTTGAGAGGGGGCTGTTCAGTTTTGACATAGATGGCCTCTTTGACCCCTCTTCCAAGCCAGTGGTCCTCTCTGTCCAAAATGTGCGCTTTGCTGTCTTCAAAAGAGTGGCCTTTGTCTTTTAAATGAAGATGGACTGCTGAATCTTGTCCCGATGGGTTTATTCTCCTCTTGAAAAAGCACCTTTGGGACAACCATGACCTGGATGAATGAGAATCTCCATAGACATTTCCATCTTGGTACTATTGGAACTAAGATGGAAGGCGTTGAATCTACATTCCCCCTTCCTTCCCCCTGACTCATATTCTGCCCCATTCCTGGACAGGTGAAGAACTACAGCCATGATCTAGGCAAGGAGGTCCGCCGGGTGCCAAAAAGGCAGCAGCTTGCCAGTGATGGTGAAGGACCTCCTCGCCGTTCTGCTCTAAATGTACGGCGCTTCCTCCAGGAGTTCTGTGTGGAGTTCTTGGAGAACTGCTACAATCGCCTCATGTACCTGGTCAAGGTGAGAAGGAGTTTCAGGTGTGGAGTTGGCCGATTGCAGGGTACCATAAAAACGAAGAGGGAGATATCTTAGCCATGTTTGACCCTTGTTTATAGGACTCTGCAGCAATCAGAATAATTGGGATAACCCGTATATTTGATGGATCCCTTCCATTTGTATTGTATTCAACATCTAAGGCTGTGTTACATGTTCTGCCATCCTTGGAGATAGGTTTGGGGAGTAAAAAAAAAATGGAATTTCTTGCCCAATTGTAAATTTCTCCCCTATGAGAAATTCTCTCTCATAGAAGGGCGCCAAATATTTCCCCCCAATTCTGCCATTCCTTTAACAACTGTTGTGGGAATATGTGATTAAATTGGCTGAAATTCATTTGTAGCAATAGTACTTAGACATACGCACTGCTTCATAGTGTTTTACAGCCCTCTCTAAGTGGTTTACAGAGCCAGCCCCCAACAGTGTGGCTCCCCATTTTACTGACCTCAGAAGGATGGAAGGCTGAGTCAACCTTGAGCTGGTGAGAATCGAACTCCTGGCTATGGGCAAAGTTAGCCTCCCATACTGCATTCTAAGCACCAGGCTCCAGACTGCTGTCCTGTCACTGTTCTAAGTGCTGAAATGTTACTTTATGCCTGTTTAATCTCCATTGTTTGCATTTTAGGGTTTTTAATTGTCTTAGCCTATCAGATCCGCTTGTATTCTAGAACTGAATGCATCTAATAGGGAGCCAAAACAACAGAGGCTACGTGTGAGATGATAGGTGGCCTTAGACATTCTCTTTCTTCCCCCAGGATCACTTGCTCAGGGAAAAGGCCCAACAGCATGATGAGACATACTACTTATGGGCTATGGCCTTTTTCATGGCCTTCAACCGGGCCTCTACTTTCCAGCCTCAGCTGGTTTCTGAGACGGTTGGTGTTCGGACCTTCCATTTCATTGAACGGAGTCTGACCAACTACTATGAAATGAGCATCGTAGATAAGAAGGATATCACCTCCTGGTCTAAAAGGTGAGAGGACATTCTCACTATGGAGTATTCCGTGGAATTCTTGATCTTTCTTTTTCCGGCCTGGGCAGTTTTAAATAATGCCATTTATCTCACCTTCCTATGCAAAGTCAGAGGAATTCCTACTCAACTTCTTTTCCTTTTCTCTCAGGATGCATCTGGCTCTCAAGGCTTACCAAGAACTGCTGATGACTATGCATGAAATGGACCATTCCCAGGAAGAAGCTGTGCGCAACAGCAGCCACGTCCTTAAGAGTAAAGATTTTTCCCCCCCATCAGATATCAAGTTATTTCCTGGGATAACATTCTAAGTTTTCTGCTGGAAGTAGAAACCAATTTTAATCTGTACCAATTCTCAGGGAAAAGCTCAAAATTACATTTGCTCATAGATAAGTCCAGACCTTTTAAGTTTTCTAGCCATTCCCTGAAGATACTATAAATTGAAGTTGTAGTCAATGTACCTCTAGGAGCCTCCATGCTTTTCTTATCAGAGGTAATAATTTGCTTAGCAGATACATTTAAAAGTAGAGAATGAAGAGAAAAGCAACAGTGGCCTTTCAGCTCCCAAAATTAAACTACATTTTGGGGTGGTGGGTGGTGGAATCTTTACCCACTTTATTATGACTTCCCCTCCATTATTTAGGAAATTGTTGGATTTGCTTGGATGAATGACAGACTAATGACAAACGCTTTCTTCCTTTAGATAACATTTTCTACATGATGGAATATCGGGAGTTGTTCCTCACTCTTTTCCGTAAGTTTGATGAGAAAAAGCAACCCAGGTCATTTCTGAGAGATCTGGTGGAGACAACTCATCTTTTCTTGAAGATGCTGGAGAAATTTTGCAAAGGGAGGAAAAACCTAGTGGTCCAGGTATTTTGGGGTATGGGGATTGAGTTCCTTTCCTTTGAATTTCCAATGATTTCTTTTGGAACCTTTTGGTCAATGTGCATATTTATTCTTTTCACTGTTAGCCAGTTTTTTTTTCCAGAAACTAACCGCTTCCTTTCTTCATTACTATACTCCCCATAAGTGGTTGTTGTCAGTTCTGCCATCTTCGGCTAGGTGCCTTGCTGGCATCCTGCCATCAAAGGTTAGCGGGGAGGGGGACAAATGGGCAATAAACTTGTATGGGGATGTGATGGGAAATGGGGGTGGGTGGGATGACAGCTGGACGGAAGACCTGGAAAGCACTGATCCAGTTCGTGCCAGTCCTCGAAGCCACGCACCCTGAGAATGGAATGCGGATTGCCCCAAACATCTCAGCAATTCTCAAAATATCAGTGTGGTTCCTCATTGGATGAAGACAAACTGGTCAAGTGGGGAGGGTTGGGATGAAGGGAAAAATCTTTTGCGCAGGAATCTTGGTTCTAGCCTGACTTTACTGCAGCCCAGCAACTTTTTGTAAAAGAACCTATCCCTTCACCTAAATGAAATCAAGGGTCTTTCTTTCCTAAGGGACCTAACTTGATCTGTGAGAGAGCACTTAGACAATGCCATATAGAAAGCTGAGTTTGAATCTAGCTAGAATCTAGAGGATCTTTGGCCTAGAATAGATGCTGCTAAAGTAAAGTTCTCAGGGACCCCAATCAACATGGCAAATAAGATAAAGACTTCTCTTTTCTCAAAGCACGATTCAAAAATTTGTTCTGCCGCAGAGCAAGAACTACAGGAGGAAAAAGAAGTCCAAGGCTCGTTCTACTGCGCCTGGTGTGCAACCACAAACTCCCGAAGAGCTGGAGGAGGTGTGGCCAAAGCTGGTGGAGCAAATTGATAAGTGCATAAAGGTAAGATGACCTAGTCGACAGGAAGAGGGCATCTTGCCAACTAGATGGCAGGAATTTGACTCTTCAGAGTGCAGACATCAGGGCCTCTGGGCTCCATCTTGCTCCCAATGAGCAGAAATCCTTCCCCTTTTTGGCATGTTGTCCTGTAAAACAAGATAGGATTCAAGCTGCAGAAAGTGCCAGCTGGGCACTTCTCAGAGAAGAGTCTTCTGCCTGGAGGTGCCAGGCCTGGAACCTGTTACCTTCTGCATACAAAGCACAAATACAGTACTCTGTGGCTGAGCTATGGCCTTTCCCTAAAAGTCATAAAAACCCTGTAAGCGAGGTGTAGAAAAAAAGACATATTTGAAAAAAACTAATTGCACACAACCCTTGCGAACAAAGGAAGAGCTCTCCTGGATATCTTTATAGTTTTTTTTTTTGCTGTTGTGCAAGTTGTGTTACTTTGTTTCCAGATCAGCCTTTGTAGAAGGAAAACGAACACTAGATCAATAGCTCTTTTCTTCCTTTTCCCCTTTCTCTAAAGCAATGGGATGGTGGGTGGGTGGAGGAATTATTCCCTTGGCTTACATACTTCATTCTAGCAGCCAGCTGCTAGATGCTTTCAATGCCAGGTTTTTCTTCCCATCTTTTTCTCCTCTGAGCCAAGTTTGACATTTTGGGACAACAACCCGGTTTTTAAAAAACGGTTCTTCCTAATAATTACAAGCCAGTGCTGCTTCCCAAGACTTCATCAAAGTGGGCTAGAAGGAATGATGGTTCTTGCTATTGTCTTTTCCATCCTTTTCAAGCCATTCCCGAGGATTCCGTGCCGTTCCAGCTTATCCTGGATTAATTTACACCTGTGTAAAACTTGCTTCGGCTACCTGAAATCCATTGGTTGACTGTAGCAAAATGCAGGATCTTTTATTTGGATCTATAACATTTCTTGCTGAAATTCTTTTGAGGGGCAAAAAAAAAAAAGAAAGGATCTTGCTGTCCCAGACTTCCATCCAATATCTCTTCTTGCCAGGGCTTTGAGCCTCCTCCAGATGACATCATTCCTTTTGATGCCGCTTCAGAAGTTCCGTTAGAAGAGCAACGAGCTGAGGCCATGACACGGATCCAGGACAGCTTATTAATTGGCCAGGCCCCAGAGGCACTGTCCCTCTTGCGCTCGGCAAGGTAAGGGAGCAACTTCAAAGATGCATCTGTGTGTCTTTTTAGCCTTCAGATAAAAACTGCAGGTCTGGCGTGCAACAGTTCAGAGCAATATCTTATCCTGATTCAGCCAGGTTGTTGCTCTCCAGCTGACGGAAATGGGACTAGAAGGACAATGATTGGGTAGGAGAGTCTGCTCATCAACATATAAGCGAATCTTCTGGATTCCTGCATTGAGGGGGCCCTCAGTGGTAGCAAATGAACCCTTCCAACTTTACCATTCTTCCAAATGTCAACCCAAGACTTTTTTAAAAAGTAAAAAATCCCGTTAACAGTCTTATTTAACGAACAGGACTATTATAATAAGATGAAATCAGGAGAGCAATTTTCAATGGTTTTTATATGCATAGTTAAATGACAGATTTAAGGTAGACATTAGGGCAATTGAGCAGCAGGAGATAGAATTTGAAGCCAAAATGTGTACAAATGATGTACATACAATTGCTAAAAATATGTAAAGCTTTGTTGACATTTGAAACAGAAGAGCCAGTAAGCACCAGCCTAGAAACCAAGAGACCATGAGTTTGTCCTGACATAGTTATGAAAACCAGCTGGATGACTTTGGACCAGTTTCGTTCATCCCAAATCAGTTATATTTTCTGAACCTTTACAATAACAGTTGCTAAGCAATAGATAGATATTGGTGGCTGTGTGTTTAACCCTTCCTGTAGTGTCTGCAGTGCTTGATGCTGAGGAGAAGGGAAATTTATCTATCTCCCGCCCTTAGCTAAGATTCCTTTGTTCTGCTCCATAAGGGAGGTGTGGCCCGAAGGAGATGTGTTTGGATCATCCACGGTTGATCCGGTTGAAGAAATGGAGCTGCTGAAGCAAATCTTATTTGCCAACCTCCCTCGTGAGTATATGCCCTCATGAGTACGCAGCTTCCCTGAGACTCAGAGTTGAAAGAGCCGTAGTGACGCAGTGCTTAGAATGCAGCACTGCAGGCTGAGTCTGCTCACTGCTAGCAGTTCGATTCTCACCAGGCTCAAGGTTGACTCAGCCTTCCATCCTTCTGAGGTCGGTAAAATGAGGACCCAGATTTTTTTTGGGGGGGGGCGATATGCTGCCTTTGTAAATCGCTTAAAGCACTGTGTAAAGCACTGTGAAGTGGTATATAAGTCTAAGTGCTAGTGCTACGGCTAAGACTTTCTCTTACCACTGCCCTTCATAGATTCTTTCAACAGTTTAGGATACCTTGGTCTTTTTTCTGGCTGGACTTCTTTTTTTAAACAGCAGCACAACATTATGCAGATCCCTAAAGGCGGAATTCCTCATATTTCTATAACAACAGTGTATCGTGCATGTATGCACAGACACACGTTTTCTCAGGCGAGGCGTTTGTGTTTCTGAGCTGGATTAATGACATTTTCCTCAAAACCTCCTGCATGTATTCAGGGCAGGCAGCAGCTAACCCAGATGAGTCTGAGGAGGCTGCTGAGGATGAGGAAGCTGCTGAGGAAGAGTTGGCATCGGTGCAGGTATCTGAAAAAGAGTTCAGCTTCCTGGATTACGTGAAGCGGTAAGCTTTTTCCTCGGTCTATATTTATCTTCTTCATGCAAGTATTTCAGATGTCATACATTTTCCCTGCATTCTTAGCCAACCCATAATACAGTTACTCCTTGACAAATGACCGAAGTGGAGTCTGCCCATTATAGTCGTATGTTGTGATCTTTGTTTTGAGGTGGTCGTTACATGAATGGCACGGTCGTAAAGCGAACACCGTGATCATTAAGCGGTGGTGTTTCTCTGCGGGTGCTGGTTTTGCCAAAAACTGGAAGCGAGTATCAGGTTTTGACAAAGCCATTGTAAAACGTGGCCACATGACCGAGGGGTGCGGCAAATGACCCTACCTGCGGCCATGTTGCCGAGCGCTCAAGAAGTTCAATCATGTGACCACAGAGGGGGCCTAATCGTTGGAACTTCAAAACCAGGTCATAAGTCCCGTTTTCCTGGTTTGTCATAACTTACATAAGTGGCGTTAAGTCGACCACTAGAAACAGTAATTGGTGCATCTGAAAACACTGAAGAAATTGAATCCTGTTAGTCCCTTGATGTTCTGAGTTCCAGCCTGCGTGCGCAAGTAATCTTCCCCTGCTGTTTCCCAGAACATGCCTTCATGTCTGTATCCTGTGGTGCAGGTTTGCTAGTGCGAATGTCGTCAAGGCCTACGTCCTGCTGTTCAGAAACTACCAGCAGAACAGCCCCCACACTAATCACTGCGTGGTCAAGATGTTGCACCGCATTGCCTATGACCTCAAGATGGAGGCCTTACTCTTTCAGCTTTCAGTCTTCTGCCTTTTCAACCGCCTCCTCAGTGACCCTGCCGCCGGCGCTTATAAGGTGAGGCGGAACAAAGATGTGCGTGGCTGATTATCAGTTTGATGAGAGATTAAATTTGAAGTGTAAGCCTTTTGTAGTGACTAGATTAAAACCATCAACTACAACACAGGGAAGGGAGCAGACGTCCCTAGGTACAGGTAGTCCTCGACTTACGGCCACAGTCGAGCCCAAAATTTCTGTTGTTAAATAAGATGTTTGTTAAGTGAGTTTTGCCCCGTTTTTACGACCTTTCTTGCCACAGTTGTTAAGTGAAGCACGCAGTTAATAAGTTAGTAACCTGGTTGTTAAGCCAATCTGGCTTTCCCATTAACTTTGCTTGTGAAAAGGTCTCAACCCATGACCCTGGTTGGGACACTGAAACCGTCATAAATATGAGTCGGTTGCCAAGCATCTGAATTTTGATCACGTGACCATGGGGATGCTGCAAAAGGTCATAAGTGTGAAAAACGGCCCTAAGTCACACTTTTCAAGGCTGTTGTAACTTTGAATGGTCACTAAATGAATTGTTGTAAGTCGAGGACTACCTGTATAGCACGTGTTTTCTGTAGCTGTGCTTGCCCTCTAAAAAACCACCACCTCCAAGATCAGGTCTTCCATAGAACTGGTCTTTCTGCTGGTGATCCATAAAGCACTGAAGACCTGGATATGTTCCAGTGCCTGGAGGGTTGGGAAGTTCAATCACCCATTAAACCACCCATTTCTGTGTATCTGTTTTGTTGGATTCATGTTTGGGGAAATATTTGGGTTTTTGGTTTTTTTTTCATTTTGCATATGTGTTTATTGTTTTAATGTATTGTTTAGCTGCCCAGAGTCAGGTTTTAGGTTCCTTTCCCCACTTCTGTGTTTAAAATGAATAAATGCTGGACCACATTCTGAGCAATGTCAAATGGTGGATCTTTATATAGGTAGCCCTCAACTTACAACCATAATTGAGCCCAAAATTTCCATGGCTAAACAAGACAATTGTTAAGTGAGTTTTGCCCCCCATTTTATGTCCCTTTTTGCCAGTTGTTAAGTGATGCAGTTGTTAATAACACAAATGTAAAGTAAATCTGGCTTTCCTGTTGATTTTGCTTAAATGAGAGTCGCAAAAGGAGTTCCCATGACCCTGGGATACTGCAACCATCACAAACACATGCCAGTTGCCAAGCGTACACATTTGGATCATGAGACAATGGGAATGCTGCAATAAGCGTGAAAAATAGTCTTAAGTTACTTTTTTCAGTGCCATTGTAACTTTCAACAGCCCCTAAATGAATATTTCTATGTCAAGCACTACTTGAAATACAAATTGCGGTGGGTGCCTTTTTTTAGACTATAAAAGATATTTCAAGACTTTAACTGCAGCTTAAAATGCATGAATCATGCCTATCACGGGCTTACTTGAAGCTCTGAAGCTGCAGCAGACCATCTATGGTTTAAATATATGCAGAAGGGCAGAACACACAATCCTGCAGTCCTGATAGGCTTCTTCCCAGTGGAGAAAGATAAGGGTATATTGGGATTTCAGAATTCCTAACCAGTATTCATCCAGTTCTTTTTTTAAAAGCCTTATTTGAATACAGAAATCAAACTACAACATCTATGGAAAAGATGTTTGCAAAAATCATTGATATTTTTCATCTAGAAGTCCCACAAACAAAAAATAAATATATGTCCCAAATTTCAAAAACCCCTTTCTGTGTTCTTAATTTGGACATGCATCCTATTTTCTCCCATCTATAATACAATATCCCTAAGCAGAACTAAAAAAAGTATACAGAATATAAATCATCCGTCTGCTTCACTGGGAAGGCGAGGGAACATTTCATTCATTCATTCGTTCATATTTTAACTTCCCCTCTTCTTCAGAAAAGAATAATTTTCTTTAATGAAACGATTTTTCACTTATTAACAATAATTGGGACTTGGGATTCTTGCTAAGTGACAGGGTCATAAGGCATGATATCATGTGATTGCTCTGACTTCTGACAGCAGTTTCTGCAGTCCCACTTGCCATTGTTAGGTGAAACTCATGTGGTCACAACATCCTGTAGTCACATTATCAGCATTTACAACTCCATTACCTCTGCTTATCTGAAGCTGCCAGTGAAGATTGCATATGGCAATCATATGACCACAGGATGTTGTGACATCCTAATTACGATCCAGTTGCCAAGCACATGAATTGGGATCGTGTAACTGTAGGGATGCAGCAATGACTGCAACTGTGAGGTTGTAAGTCCCTCTTATTCAGCTTCATTGAAACTTTGAATAGTCACTGAATGAGCAAACGTTAAGTGAGGACCACTTATTCTTTTGGACTTACAACAAACAAAACAAAATGCCTGTAAATTTTAGGAGCTGGTGACATTTGCCAAGTACATTGTGGGCAAATTTTTTGCCTTGGCATCAACCAACAAAAAAGCCTACATGGAACTATTGTTCTGGAAAAGCACAGCTGTGGTTCGAGAAATGACTGAAGGCTACACGGTGTTACAGGAAGATGGAAGGTAAGGTATTAGGTTAATACCTAATTTCTAGGGATGGGGAGCATTTTGAGAAATGTTGCACTGGAAGATGGACTACTACCTCCATAGTATTGTCTGTAAGTTTAAGTATTGAATAACAGGAAAATATCTCCAGCCATTTAGACAGTGTTCTCAAATTATGGGAGCTTTGGTTTTAAGGAAGTTGTACGTTTTAAGGTGGGAGGGTAACCAGAGTCGTAACAAAAGTTGCTCTTTTTCCAGCCATTGATTTGACCAAGAAAAATGGAAAGGAAAAACTAGGAGTTGGTCATATGCGGGATACTAAAATAGAAGTGGGGAAAAAAGACGGCTCCCTTATTTCTCTGATCAAACAGGCTTCCAGGATAGAAGGATGAGTGCACACACACATGCATGTTCATGCACTCACCTTCAAGTCGCTCCTGATTCCTGGTGACTACATGGACTAGTTCTTAACACTTTTCTTGGCAAGATGTCAGAAGCGGTTTGCTGTTGCCTCCTTCCTAGGGTTGAAAGAGAAGAGAATACCTGGTCCAAAGTCACCCAGCTGACTTTGTGCCCAAGGCAGGATTAGAACTCACAGTCTCCCAGATTCTGGGCCAGTGCCTTAACCGCTACACTAAGTGGCTTCTCATAGATGAGAATATTTATGAAGATGAAGCCGCTGGGTGATGCCATCCAATGGCAAGGGGTTAGTTATCATCAGCACTTGGCTACATAACCTCTGCCCTGCCTGATCAAATAACGCTGCCTTGGTTCTTTTCAGTATCTGGAAGTTGTGGTGGTCTGAATGGAGGGGGGAAAAAACAGGCTTTGACTTAATAGTAAGGCCAAGTGGCTGTGGGGTTTGCCCTCCTTGCCCTCTCTTCCCCAGTATCTGGACCTGAGGATTTTCTACCTTTGGTTCTGAGTGAGGCTGGACTCCCCCCACTCAGGCCTGATGCGTGATGTGTGTTGTCTTCATATAACTCCATCTTGGATCGGGAGGCCCTCCTCACGGTCCTACCTGCTTTACGCACACCCTGGTTGGATTTCTGCCACTCTGTCTGGAGCTGCCCTTGAAGACCAGCCGCAGCTGCAACAAGTCCAGAAGGCAGCAGCATGGATAATAAAATGGGTGCACCTCATTATGACCTATGAGCCGCGGTGGTGCAGTGGTTAGAATGCATGCGAATGCAGTACTGCAGGCTGCTTCTGCTGACTGCTGGCTGCCAGCAGTTTGACAGTTTGTGTCTCACCGGCTCGAGGTTGACTCAGCCTTCCATCCTTCCGAGGTAGATAAAACGAGGACCCAGATGGTTAGAGGGGCAATAGGTTGACTTTGTAAACCTCTTAGAGAGGGCTGGGAAGCTCTGGGAAGCGGTATATACAACTCTTAAGTGCTATTGCCATTGCTAATGGATGCATCTCAACATGCCCGTGTAATGCCGCTATTCTGCAAGTTGCACTGGCTCTTGATAGGCTTATGGGTGCAAATCAGGGTGCTGGTTATCACCAATGAACCCTATCTGGCAGAGGACAGGTTAACTTTAGATCAACGTGTAGGAGGCCATATCAAACAATGTGGGTGCCATCAGTTCTACATAAATCCAGAAACCCTGTGAATGTTTTTCTTCCTACAGAAATGCTCAAATTTTAGATACTGTTTCATGGGGAAATTTTCTCAGGAGGATATTTCTTTCCTTCACAGTTCTAATTCGCACAAAGCCTCCTCCCATTGGACTGAAAAAGAGGAGGAGGAACTTCAAGAGCTCTACCACAAGTATAAAGAAGTGGAAGGTAGGTACCTAGCTGCAGGGAAGGGACATCAGAAGAAAAGCCAGCTGATAAAGCAGTGCAAGATCAAAACTCACTTTAGGGCTTTCTATTCTGTGGCTGATAAGAATTTGACTGAGCGCTTGGGGCGAGCTGAAACTTCCATAAGAAAAGCTTTGGAATCCCATAAGGAAGACTCTTTATTTGGTGGCCCACTGCAGAACAGCCTCCAGTGTATTCCTGACTCCTCCTTTTTGGAGCTCTAGTTTTGAAAGGAAAGAGAAGTTTCTAATGGAACAGATTTCCAGAGAAGCAATCACTTACGTTATGTCCCAAGCTGCCTTTCTTCAGTTGTTGAGTTCTCAAATTCCAACGTGCTCCGAAGCCAGGCAGCACTGTTCTAAGGTTGAGTGCTGGTACTATGGGTGGTTGTTAGTCTTGGGTGCTCTGGTGGGTTTGTTTTTAATCTTGTAAGTCTCCCACTCGTACGAGGTGGGAGGCTGTACAAATGATCTAAGTTAATGTTCTTTTCATAATTGAACACAAGGCAGCATTAGCACGATACTTTTATCCTGGCACATCAGATTGCATTGTCAGAGCATGCTGTGTTGTAAGAGAAGGTTTCCTTCACATTTTGTTCCCCTAAAGAAAATAAGGGAAAGGACATTGGTGTGTGTGTGTTTGTGTTTAAAAAGGGGAAGTGTAGTTTTGAAACTGGTGCTGTATTGCAGAAAACCTGAAGGCAAAGCCATATAACCAGGGAGAGGATTATCCTTATACATGCTACAAATGGCTATCGGAGCCATCACTAGGCACGCATGTGTACAGATAGTCCTCAATTTATGTCTACAGGGGAGCCCAAAGTGGTTATTAAATGAGTTTTGCCCCATTGCGTGACCTTTTTGCCACGCTTGTTAAGCAAATCACTGCTGTTAGTGAGTCATGCGTTCGTTAAGTGAATCTGACTTCTCCCGTTGACCTTGTCAGAAGCCAACCGGGAAGGTGACAGATGGGAATCACATAAACATGTGTCTGTTGCCAAGTGCTCGTATTTTGATCATGCGACTGGGGATACTGCCAGTGTTGTAAGTGGGCAAACTGGCCATAAGTCACTTTTTTCAGTGCTGTTGTGACTCTGAATGGTTGCTAAGTGAATGTTTTGCCTGTATAATGGCCAACCCTTTTGCTTCTCTCCACTGTCTTAGCCAAAGTCCAAGCACCAGGTCTTGTGTTCCTCTCAAAGCCTTGTTTTTCAATCCCCCAGGTGAAGATGTGCTTGATAACATCCTGTCACATGTCGGCTCTCGTCACCGAGGACGAAAGCGGGTGGCCAGGAAACTGGTGCAGTTGGGGTTGGTGAGCAGCATGCGAGACTTTCCTCCGGAGCGGTAGGTCATGCTAACACTTTCCATGAATTCAGGATCTTCAAAAACAGATTTAAAAAAAAAAAGCAAATGATAATCGGCACGAATGCATGTGGATGCAGATAACAGATAATCAGAGTTGGAAAGGACCTTATAGGTCATCTAGTCCCACCCCCCCCCCCCCCCGCCTAAGCGGGAGGCAAATGGCAGTCCAATCTCTTCTTGAAGGTCTCAAGTGATGGCACTCCCACAACTTCCGAAGGCAACTTCTGTTCCATTGGTTGATTGTTCTCACTGTCAGAAAGTTTCTCCTTATTTCCAGGTTGAATCTCTCCTTGTTCAGTTTCCATCCATTATTCCTTGTCTGGCCTACAGGCACTTTAGAAAATAGCTTGACCCCTTCCTCTCTGTGGCAGCCCCTCAAATATTGGAAAACTGCTATCATGCTATCAAGCCCAGTTCCTGTAACCCTTCTTCATATCTTTTAGTCTCCCATCCCCTAATCATCCTGGTTGCTCTTCTATGCACTTTTTCTAGAGTCTCAACATCTTTTTTATAACATGATGACCAAAACTGGATGCAGCACTCTAGGTGTGGTCTTACTAAGGCTTTATAGAGTGATATTAGTACCTCACTTGATCTTGATTGTATCCCTCTGTTAAAGCAACTTAGGATGCATACGGATGTTATTAGGGAAGGCTCGGATTCCTTGAAATGAGCGACTGAACTCTCTGCCATAGCTCTTTCTTACTGATAATTTCAATCATATTTCCCTAAACGGAGCTCCTTCTTTCTACCCTTTAGTCTCTTGCTTGATGGTATAAGCAGAAAGGTGTTGCTTCTGCTACTTCCATCCCGCTTGCCGAGCGAATACCTTTTCTTGGCTAGGAGCTATAGTAACAGAAGAGGCATTAGTGGGAAGGATGGTTAAAGGATGAAATGGGTCTTTGCTTTGTCTCTTAACACCTTTTTTTATGATTCTTCAGCTGTTGTGTGTTTTATTTCATATTTATTTATGTTAATGTTGGGGGCCACCCAGATGGATGGCTCACATGTTCTTGAGATGGAATGGCTATAAAATGTATTTTACACATAAAACAAGGATACATAAGTTGTAGGATATAGATACCGTGTTTCTCATATAATAAGGCCGGGTCTTTTTTTTTTTTTTTGAGCCCCGAAAAAATGGCTAGGCCGTCTTTTCGGGGGTGACTTAATTCCCCCCCTTGCATCTTTGGGCAGGCGGGGCAGCGACGGCTTGGATGTTCACCTCGGCATTGGTGGGGCACTTCATATCGGGGTCAATGCAGGCAGCACCATATCCGGGTGTGCAACAAAAGTACTTCCTAACGGCAAGGCCCCCCCCATTCCCCCCCCATTTCGCATGTTTTAATATAGGCCTTAATTTGGGGGGAGGGGCTTAATTTCATTTCATGCCTATAAAACATGCTGGGACTTCCTATTGGGGGAGGCCATATTGTTGGAGAAACAGGGTAGTTCTTGGTCAATGATGGAAATTAGGACCAGAATTTCCATTAGTAAGCAATACATCCAATAAAGAGTGACATCATGTGACTGTGTCACTTGGTGACGGCAATCCCAGGATTCCCTATTGCCATTGTTCAGTGAGGTAGATAAGTGACTCCCAAGAGATTTGCAGGCAGCTACAATCCAGAAAGGTCAGGAGAGGCTCGTGCCAAGCAGGATAGAAGGCAAATAACTTGCCAGAGTGACTAACGACCTTTCTTGCCAGCTTCCAAATTGATTTTACTTGAGGGAGGCTACCAGGGAGCATCGCAAATGATGATCGTGTGTACAGGACACTGCAGTTGTTGTAAGTGCAAATCAGTAGCCGAACTCCCAGGTTGCAATCCTATGATGGTAGAGTTGCTGGGACAGATGGAACTTCAAGGGCTGGTCATAAGTACCAGTCGTTCAGCACCATTGTTACTTTGGAAGCTGGTTAAGTGAGAACTACCTATCGTTTTGAACCCACTTAGAAGACAAAACAAGCCATAATACCCCCTCCCCATTTTGCCTTTTGCCTAGAAATCCTAGCCTCACTCCTTTGGCTGTTGTTATCATTCTGCCCACTGTGGCCTCTGTTGCCCAACAAACTTAACGTGGGCCCTTAACAGCCAAAATATTGCATTTCTCAAATAGAAGATTGCTTTGAAAAAGAAACAGAAAAACCAAGACTGTACATTTTGATAGAAGAATTCAACTCTTGGGTATTTTTTTTTTTTAATTGAAAAGGCCTTCTGTTGCAACCTGTACTGTAGTGACAAGCCTGGTTAATTTCCTTCGGCAGGAAAGGGACTCGCATTGTGCTATGGACAGAGGAGCAGGAGGTAGAACTTCGTCGTCTCTTTGAGGAGTTCCGGGACTCCGATGGTGAGACTGCCTGGCTGGTTAGCAGAATTTCATCTGCACCCAACATAGTAGAGCTCTGGTGTCTGGAGGTGTGAGATAAGCTGGGTGGAGATGAGGGAGCTGGGACCGGAAATATTTTTAAGGATACCCTCACAAACTGTTTTGGTGGTGAATTCTCTGCTGTGGAGGGATTATTTTCCAGTGAGCCTCCTAAAGCTAAGAGTTACTTATCTCTGTTTGGCAATCTCTGCTTTTTCTGTCTCCCTATCACCAAGGTTTGAATGGGCTTGTCTGAAATTATTAGAAGCGGTTCTTGTTTAGCAACCACAGTTGGGACCAGCAACTTGGTTGTTAAGTGAAGTCACTAAGCAAAACTGTGACTGTGCTTGTGATCCTATTGCAGCTTTCCTGATTTGGCAAATGTTATAAACATGAAGATTGATTATAAAGTTAGCTTTTCATCACTATAGTAACTGCAAAGGGTTGCTAAATCAAGCAGTCGCTAAACAAGGACTACCTATAGTACTTTACCAATATTTCCACAGACAGAATGTAGACTTGGCATCAGAATAGGAATTTCATATGACATTGTATTTACTTGCTCTGGGTCACTAGATAAAGAGAATTTCATGGAACCAACAGGGGGAACTAAATATGCTGGCATACTGTTTGCTCACACTGCCTTTGCCTCTTTCCTCCCTCTGTAGATATCCTGTCCAATGTAATGAAGCACATCACAGCGAAACGATCTAAAGCCCGCATTATTGAGAAGATGCTTAGCATAGGGCTGGTGTCTGAGCGTAAGGAGCTTTACAAGAAGCGCAAGCGCAAAACTGGTTCGCTTAGATCGGTATGCTACACACACACACCCAATCCTTTTTCCTATCTGCACACCTCGCTTTGAAAATGTGAGCATGCCCACATCTATGCATCTACAGCATCATAAATCCTAAGCTAGTTTGATTTATTTAACAATAGGAGGGAGGGGGTATATATCAAGCTCTCACCGATGCAGTTTCTCAGATCTTCTTTGAGTTTTCTGCCAAAGGTGCTTTTTCAAGGGGGAACTGTTAGAACTGAAGAAGCTTCTTGGATGAGAAGCGAAATGTCCTCAAGGAAAAACAAAGAAAGTCCAGTTGCCTCTTGAAAAAGCACCTTTGGGACAACCATGACCTGGATGAGAATCTCCATATTTGACCTTTGAGCTTTCTTCTTTCCTTCAGCTCTACTTCTTCAAACATGCCTTCTCCTCCCAAAAAAATAGCCTAGAATTGTTGTTCTAGTCAAATTGACACTTGCTTCAGTTTATCAATCTTTTCTAACTGAACCTTTCAAAATATCAGTAAAAACAAAAGTAGCTCACAAGAAATATCCAAAATCTTATATTTATTTTAATATAAAATGTCCTCCAAGAGACTAATTTGAGCCAGCCAAAAATACTGGGGGTGATGAAACCACTGTTATTACATCTAAGGCAATGGTTGTTTTTGTCTCTGGTATGGATTATTGAAGGAGGAACACCCTAATTTAGCATCTCCTGCTGTTCTGTACTCTTAAGAGATGGACTTAAGTTTCTTTCTTTCAGAATAAGACCTCGTTCCCCAAAGTTTCTGAGGTGCCTGACCTGGATGAGATAGATGACCAAGATGAAGAGGAAAAGGATGATTTGGATAGTGAAGAAGAAGAAGAAGATGATGAAGAAGAAAAACTGGCCAAGGAGGATGCTGGAAATGACAAGGACCAAAAATCCTGGGGCAGGTGGACTAAGAAAATATGGGGAGATGCTTCAGATCGAAAACTTGTGCAAAGCCTGAGACAAGAAGGTGAGAAATTGGTCTGTCTGATTGCAAAAGGAGGAACTACAGTATACAGTGATGATGCTGTCTAGTGTCACAGAATTTTAGTGCTGGGACGCAAACTCAGCTTTCTACGCTCCAAGAATTTATCTCCCTTCAAATGATCTCTTAAAAAATTCTCCAGATACCTCCTTCACAACCGCCCAGAGTGGTGTGAAGTATGGCCTAACCAAATTGCCTAACTTCCAAACTATATAACTTTGCATCCCCAGAGCAGAGGTGGTATTCAGCAGGTTCTGACTGGTTCTGGAGAACTGGTAGTGGAAATTTTGAGTAGTTCGGAGAACCGGCAAATACCATCTCTGACTAGAGATCCTTCCCCTGCCATGCCCATCAAGCCATGCCCACAGAACTGGTAGTAAAAAAATTTGAATCCCACCATTGCCCCAGTGGCTATAAAAGAGGTTTATCAGGAGAGATAAGTAATCCGATTGGGGTGGGAGTTTCTGGAGATCGCTAATTGACGTAACAGATTCCCCCCCCCCCCCATGCATTTCTAGCATAATCCCCATGTGTTATCCATATTTTAATATGGGCCTGAGCACATCCATTAGAATGTATTTTATCTCTTCATCTCAAACGGAATCATTTTTCCCTTTCGTAATTTGCTTTTCACTTTTCCCCATTATCCTTGCAAATAAGAAGCTCCAATTCTTAGGAACATTGACCTTTTTTGTGACGGGCTTCAGATCATGAAAGCCTACAACAATCTTTTTTTTTTTTTCTGGTTTTGCTGGTGTTCCTGTTTCTAAGAACTTTGATACATTAAAGTAGCTTACTGTTTTTTTGGGTTCTCCCACAAGCTGTCTTCTGAAATGGGACTGGCCATTGCATGACTTTTTCCTTCTCTTCGTGTAGAGATGGCCTTCAGGAATACGATAATGTGGAACTTTTAAGACGACTGCTGATGGATATCTGAAGGAGGAGGGAGGGGGGTTTTCAATTTGTGTGATTATATTCATACAAAGGTGTCTGATATCCTGATGTCAGTATGTAATTGGGGCACCTGTAAGATTAGATCATTGTGTCTGTATTATTATTTTTTTGCTGTTGCTTGCACCTCTTGGCCTGCTCACGTTCCCATGCAATTTCGCCCTGCAGGTTTTGCTGGTCCCTTGCTCTGGCTTCAAAACTGCTTGAACAAAACAGCTGCTGCCCGAGGAGAGGATGGTAAGTAAATGCAAACAAACTGGGGTGTCAAGACTTATTTGACAAATGTACGTGGCCGCCAATCTCACTCAAAGTGACTCTGTGAATAAAACCAGGAATTAAAACATTTTACAAACCCTTTAAAATAATAATAAGAGATAAAATGGGATTATGAAAGTGAGGACGTTACATACAAAGCAATCAGCACACAGGCTTCCCCATTATCAAGGCATCCCCAAGACTTGCTGAAAATGTTCTGGAAGGCCATAAGGACTGGGGATAACCTCACTTCAGGAGCGAAGATGTCCCAGAAAAGGTTCACCTCTTAGGTCCTTTCAGGTGGAACTCTTTCACCGCTCGAATCACAGTGTGCCTCTCCTGCCAGGTCTCATGTAATAGAGAGAAGGCAGTCCCTCAGATACTCTGGCCCCATGCCAAAACCATCTCCTTAAATTGGACCTAGTAGCAAACTGGCAACCAATGGCAGCACACAGCAGAGATATAACATGTGTCTATTTAGGGATGGTCATAATTGCCTGAGCTGCCGCATTTTAGTGTAATAAGATTGGGACTGGGTTAGAGACTTCTGCCCTCACTGTGAGTTGTGTTCCGGGGGGGAGGGGAGGGGGGGCATGCAAGAAGGGAGGCTCAGCCAATTTCATTGCACACATGTTGTATTCTGACAATAAAGGTAATAATAAGTAATAATAATAACTTTTGCAGCAGCTGAAGCTTTTGGATACTCTTCCATGGCAGACCCATGTAGAGTATTTTACAGTAGTAGTCCATCTGGGAGGTGACATTCTTATGTCGAGCATGAAAAGTTGGCTATTTCATATTACTGATTAAGCCAATTTTCATAAAGTAATGCCCAGGGCTAAGCTCTAGTTTTCTTCTCAGGAAAGAGCTACTTATCCCAAGTCTCGCATGGAGGGCATTCTTCGGCTTGCTCTAGTTACAGCTGGATATATTTTTGTTCCCCCAGGATGTGCCCAGGCTGTTCCTTTGGTGCCGTTGACTGAAGAAAGCGAGGACGCCATGGAGCACAAAGATTTCCAGGAACTGCTGTGGAAGATGGGCGTACGATCTCCAGCCAATGAGCAGGTGAGGGTTTTGATGTGACTTCTGCGTGCCATCAGAGTAGACCTTAGATGCTTCCAAGCTGCTACCAATTTTTTTTTAATCCATTAATTATTATCCTGCTTTTATTATTTTTATAATTAACTCAAGGTGGCAAACATGGTCAATACTCAGTCTTCCTATTTTTCCCACAACAACAATCCTGTGAATCGGTTGGGCTGAGAGAATATCGTCTCTACTGAAATATAATAAAAAATGAAATGTAAAGGGAGTAATCATGTGAAGCATGATTAATTTAATTTAATTTAAATCAGACAATTATTTGTCTTGGCCCCTTTCACTTTTGGAATGAATCCCTCAGCCCAAGGAAGGTTGTACGTTCCCAAATTAAAGGGAGAGACTATAGGAAATGTCTACCATGATATAAAGGAATTATGTTATTTGTATTATTTGTTCTAAATGTTTCTTTTATGTAAATATTATGCCGGAAGGAAAGCAATGAGGAAAATTAAACGTTTGTATAAATGGTGCAATGTGGTATGTTTTAATTGCCATTGTGTATAAAATAAATATTTTAATAGAACACAGCAGATATCAGCCTCCATATCTGAATATATATGAATATCTTTTTCATATGGGAGGTTGAAATATCATCCTGTTGTCACCTCGATAGATGATGTTATCAATTTGGGTCAGAAAAAAAGGCTGCCTGTATGGAGCATGCATCATCTTAAAAAAAATAGGAAGGATGGGGTAATTTTTCTAAGATGGGAGAGTTGACCCCTGCCTTACTGAATATTTGTCCCAGGTTTTCCATTTAATATTATGCTAAGATTTTATTGTGGCCTAAAATAGAAAGGCCTGGTATTGACAAACTGTAGATAGTCTTCGACTTAAGACCACAATTGAGCCCAAAATTTCCATTGCTGCATCGGTCTTAAGTGTGAAAAATGATTGTAAATCCTTTTTTTTAGTGCCATTGTAACTTCGAATGGTTGGTTACTAAACAAACCGTTGTAAGTTGAGAACTACCTGTACAGTATATTGGGTCTTGTTCAGTTTGCCTTTTCATGTTGATACAGAACTGTCATTCAGGATCAGATGAACCCTTAAGGTTTTCTCAAACAATTTCCCTTGGCCATGATCTTAATGTCATAGTCTTGCATAGCCTGTGAAAGAGAGGCAACCCAGTTCAAATTATGTTACAACATTAGAAATTGAAAGGGAGGAGATGCACTTTATTGTGTTTAGAAACTTAGTTTGCAGATGGAAATGTTCTTATAGACACCCATCTGGACATCATGAAGCAGCATACCCAGAACTTTGTATTTGAATAGCTTAATAGCAACTAGGACAAAATTATTCCCATGCCAGTTTGCAAATTTTATAATTGCTAGAATTATCCTTTGAGCCTGCATCGTTCATTTCCTTGCTTGAGTGCCCCAGTTGGTAGAGAACCGAAGTTAAATGCCTAAATATTTGAAATATTTCATCTTCCGTCTTGACAGATCTTTCATTTATTGACCATTGGTGGTGTTCTTCATCAAACAGATAAGCTGCAGAGCTCAGTAGGGGGGGCTGCCTTTTTGATTGGGTGGGGGTGGGAGGCGGGGAACCTTCTAGGTTAAAGAGACCTAGGAAATTCTCAGAATGCAAATGCCAATGCAGATAAAGAGCAAACATTCTTAGATTATTTTGATGCAATCGTATTTACAAATCTTGGGTTTAACTGTATGTCAGTTTCTGTTGAGAGAAACTCTTTTGCATGTGTTGAAATGTATATAGAACTAGATGCTAGAAAAAGCAAGAGAATAATTTACCAACCTTTCTTCCTCAGTTCCAATTAACAACACTTTCAAATACTGACAGAAAGGTTTTGCAACCCATGGCCTCTGGGCCATGGCCCGTTGGGATCTGGCCGCAAAGTGGCAGGCAAGCATACGAAGCTTCATTTGCGCATGTGTAGGATGTAGGTTGAGTGCGCAAAACCATTCCCCTGCCACAGCCGAAACTGTTGAAGCGCCACCACCGCCAGTCCTCAAAACCAAAATGGTTGGGGACCCCCGAGTTACAGGGCCTCGCTGTATATTGATCTCAACTTCATAATAGGGTAATTTTGTGATTTCCCTTTTTTACAGTAAAATAGGTGGTCATATCTTTACTACTGTATATGTTCTGTGAACAGTTAGCTCTTTATCCTAGTAGAGTCGTACCCTGATAGCCGACTGCTTTGAAATGTGTTGAATTTGGTACTCAGCGTATTTTGATCCCAAACTTTTGCCCCAATACTTGTCGTTTGTTTGGTATTCAATGTGCAAGCTTAGAACTTGTTGTTGTCAGTTGCCACATGACTTGCTACCCTTTCCAGCCAAAACAAAGGATCACCCTTATGGAAGAAATTCTCATCATTTTTGGTACTTGTCATGCTCCTAGAACCAATTAGGTACCGAGGTACCACTGGATCTGTTCTTTCTCATTTGGGTCTCCAATGACATTTTCTAGTGATGATTTTCTTTCCTTTAGGCTGATGCAAATTTAACTGTTATCATTTGCAATTTATTTAGTTTATCATATTTCTACACCATCCATCTCACCCGAGCGACTGTGGTTGATTTATGAATAAAAACCATAAAAAGAGACACCGTTAAAACAATATTGGACCCGGAATTATAAAGAGTAAAAAAAATTAAGAATTACCCATTTTAAATTAAAAGTTAATTAAAGCCTGACTTTAGTAGTGCTGTGATAAAAGAACTTGCCAGGAAATAAAAACAGGATTAGGCCCAGGTTGTAATCTCAGGGGATCAGGACCAAACTCACTTTTTGCCTTTGTTTGTCTGGTAGGAATCCTTCTGGCGCATCCCAGCTAAGCTTAACTCAGAACAATTACGCCACATGGCTGCTTTCATTGCTTCAGAAGAAATGGAGGGGGAGACTCAAGACCAGCAAACTGGTAAGTTAGGTGTAAAGAGAAGGGAAATTGGAATCATTCATTAACACATCACTAAGCCAGGTGGGCAAACTAGATGCTGCAGCTGGCTTCCCTTGATCATCCCCCATCCCCAGGTTCATGCCGCTGAACTTCAGGCAGGTTCCAATTCTGAGAAGTACTTTTTTTTTTTTTTAAAGTATTTAATTCCACACTATGTCCTTCCTCCCTCACCCCCATGTGCAATAAGCTTCTGGTAAACCCTCCCTTTTGAGTTTAAGTAACCCGTCCATTCTCACAAAAGGCCTAAAGCAGGGGTCTCCAACCTTGGCAACTTTAAGCCTGGTGGACTTCAACTCCCAGAATTCCCCAGCCAGCT